GCTGGGAGGTGACATGACTCTAGGTGGTGCTGGAGGAGCTCTTGCAAAGTTCATGACTTGCTAGTGTTCTAACAGAAACATTGGTAAAAGTAAAACAATTACTTCACTGTTTCTCTTCCTTGAAGTTTTCTATTAGATTGGTATCAAAATGAATGTGGCTTCACAGGTTGTGCAACGTGAAAAATGTTTTAGTACAATTTTTTAAAACTCTGTAGCATTCCTAAGATAGCTTTCCTTTAAAATATTAGACATAATTGAAATAAATAATAATTCAGCGTGTATTCAGATCATGAATAAGAAGCCTCACAGCCTTCAAGGAGAAAACTTAGCGTCTAAAATGTGGTGTTTTATGGATTTTTACAGGGAGCTCATGCCATGTGCAAAAGGTGGCATGGGAGACCAAGAGCATACACCAAGAGTCCCTAGGATGTATCCGTAAATGTATTATCAGTTAATTTATGTATATTATAATTGTACCTTGAAGCTTCAATGAGATTGGGAACCTATTGTGCTTTCCCATGCTTAGATAAATCATCAGAGATAGCCTCTTTCCCCAAAAGTTTACAATGTAAAAGATGCCAGAAGGTGATATAACAAGCTGCCAGCCAGAATAAGGGCAGGAAATTTGAAACATATATGAAGACTTGCAAGTTACAAATAAGTAGAATTTAAAACAAAAATGCTGAAAGTCATTTCTTGCTTTTCTGTTGAGTTCCATGGCTACCTCTCTGACATCAGCTCAGTGGTAACACAAAGGTCCTGGTGTAGGGGTTGGCAGTGTTTCTGGGCAGAGTACCAAAAAACCTTGCAACCTCAACTTCTAAGATGTCAATGTGTCAGGGGTGGATAGCAGGGGAGCCATGAGGGACCTGATCCTTGTTGTGGCAGTGCAGCCTTGGCCCTTTTCGCACTGTCTGCCCAGAGTCCCATGTGCACACACCTCTGGCAATGAGCTGGGCTGGGCCTCCACGGACCCTGGTGCATCTGCTTGCAGCCATCGCACCACCTGTTGTGAACAACCCAGGCTCCATGGCCAGCCCAGAGCCTGGGTCAGCTGTGGTGTGCCAAATAAAATGACTTCACATGCCAGATCCTGGCATGTGTGCTGGGAGTTACGTGGTCTAGTCCCCTGTGTTAAGATTTGGTGAGGTCATAGACTATTGCAGTGGAAGGTCAGAACCTTGTATGTGGGTCACAGCTTATAAACGGCTTCAGTTTATTCTGTCTGTGGAGGGGTTCACTAATGGCAGCAGTTCTCCAACAGGGGGTTGCCAGGAGTTTGGAGATAAACATAGGCTCTAGTGAAGAGCTAAAGTACAGACTCCAACTCTCCACTCACTGCAGTGTAGACTGTTCCCTGTAGTTGCTCCTCCTCCTTCCTGGCCCCTCTTCAAGAAGGTAAGCACTATAATAAGTTAGTTTTTGCAATGGATTGCTACTCCATTCAGAAAAGTTGTGGAAGTGTGCCTCAAGTCTAAAAAGTTTGAGAGCTGCTGGTATGAGGTGTATTGGTTCTAAGAGTAATTAATACATATTTATTTTCCTAGATCTTTCCTGTCTAATCTGGCCTTTAACTTATTATTGTTGAGAAAAATGAAGATGATGGTGAATTGTTTTAGGTGCACATGCTCCTCCTCTTCCTCCCTGTACCTCTTCCTTCAGTGAAGTATCTGAGTGCAGGGGCCTGGACTCCTAATACTTCTTCACTGGAAGTTTTACTCAAGGTGTCAAGGCAAAACGAGCAAAAAAAAAAAAAAAATCTCAGAAGCAAACTTCCCTAAAGAGTGCCTTTTCATTTAATCTGACAAAAAGAATATTATCTCTGCTGGTTTTCTCAAACATACCTAGAGCAGGGGACTGTACCCAATGATCTTCTGAGGTCCCTTCCAGCCTTACAATCTATGAATTTATGAATCTGTGTTCTTTGACTATGTCTGTAGGCCTAAGTATTTTAGATCCTTCATGGGCACCCTGTAGAGATAAGCAATGCAACTAAAACTAGGGGAAACCTGAACTTGGTAAAATATTTTTTCTTTGTTTTTCTTGCTTTAGAATTTCTATTGATAAATCAAATGCGAGTAGCTGGGAGCTGTTTGTACATCTGGGAGATGCAACTCACTCTGCTACAGTTTCAAAGACTGGTTCAACATTCTCTGTAAGTTTTGCTCAATTTCTAGAAAATAGTTGGAGTTATTGATTTTTTTTTTTTAAATACAGATTTCTTATTTGTTTATAGTTCTATTACATAATTTGATATTCCTTTCATCTTCTGCAAAAGGCCTAACTGTAAATTAGGTCTTCTTATGTTAATTAAGTGGTACATTTTCAATAAATATATATGAGATTTAGTCGCATTTTAATGTCTATAGAATATTTTTTATTTCACTTTCTTAAATTTTGTTTTCTAATTACCAAAGTTTCTTTAATGATTTATTTGGAAGTTACTCATTAGGATGTATTCGTAAATGTTTGAGAGCAAGAAATGAAATTACAATTTAGGATATTGTTAAGAAATCAAAGAAGCCAACCAGAAAACATGCATAAAATTAT